ATACAATCTCACAAAAGGTTCCGTTGTACACCGACTCATCAGTACTTAGGTTCCGTTGATTTCAAGTTTGGGAAACTTTTTAACGTTGTTTGATGAGCCATCGTAGCACGAAATCCTTCATTGGCTAAGCAAGTATTTGGTCGACAAATCTGCAATTAACTCGATGAAATTACATGAATAATAAATAAAACATACAACACATTGTGATTGCTGGTTTCTTGTGACAAATAAAAAAACCCTAAAACCACCCACTGCAAATTCTAATTTTTGATATATTGCTACGAGACTATCAAGAGTAAGCCTGGTAATATGACTCCTGGAAAGGCGTGAAGTGCTCTTGATGAACTTACAAAAGAATGGTTTACTCACTTGGCAACTCTTCTTCAACAAGGGCGCTTCGCGCCAAATACCATCGATTCGTGATTGCGCCAGATACTGTCAATTCGTGATTGCCGCCCTTCAGTTCCCTCAAGCTCTACCCGCGGTTTGTATGTTTTGCTACATCCTCCACAAAAAAGTCAAAATCGGCAAACTTAACAGCCATTTGCTCGAAACTGCCCAAGGGAATAAAAAAGTAACTTCTAAATATTGGGACAAAAGTTCCTCTGCAACGGTTGCTTGTTCACCCGTCCAGGCAAAACACACGAACCAAGGGCAGAGCTTTAAGTTTCATATCATGACTAAATCCTAATTTCAATATAACCTTCGTGTGATTGCTAGGTTTTTTAGACAAATCGAAAAACCCTAAACCCAACCACTACAGATTCTAATTCTTGATAAATTGCTACGAGACTATCAAGAGTAAGCCTGGTAATACGACTCTTGAAAAGGCGCGAAGTGCTCTTGATGGACTTACAAAAGAATGGTTTACTCACTTAGCAACTCTTCTTCAACAAGGGCGCTTCGCGCCAATACCATTGATTTGTGACTGCCGCCCTTCAGTTCCCTCAAGCTCCGCCCTCGGTTTGTGTGTTTTGCTCCATCCTCCACAAAGAAATCAAAATCGGTGCACTTAACAGCCATTTGCTCGAAACTGCCCAAGGAAATAAAAAAGTAACTTCTAAATATTGAGTCAAAAGTTCCACCGCAATGGTTGCTTGTTCACCCGTATGGGCAATAGTTGAGGGCGGAGCTTGAAGTTTCATATCATGACTAAATCCTAATTTCAAGATAGCCTTCGTGTCGCCACGAAGTTCAAAAGTGGCTAAAACCAAACAAATAAAGAAATTTACTTCAAATTTCGGACCTCAACACCCAGCTGCTCATGGTGTTTTAAGATTAGTTTTGAAAATGAATGGAGAAGTGGTGGATAGCGCAAAACCACAGCAAGAGATCCAAAACCCCACCAATAGTTGAGATTGTTGACCTTGTACACACCAAGAGATGCAAAACACCACCAATTGTTGAGATTGTTGGCCTTGTACACACCGCCCGTCATACCATAGGAATTTCTTTCGCCCGAAATTGTCTCTATCCCCTGGCGCTTATATGAGATGAGGCGGCTCAAAGCGCCATCGTTTTCAGGGAAGCATACCCTGCAGCCCTTCGGCCAAAGCAAGAGGAGGCTCGCACCTCCGAGGTCGCCTCGGGAGATAAAAGTCGAAACGAATGAGGATAACGAAATCGATTGTGTAGTGGCTGGACGACATGATTCTCTACGTCAGCAAGACAGTTTTTTTTTCATCAAATCGGATAACGGGCCAGTTGAGCTGGCGACTTTCACCGCTTCGGGCCTAATTCACCGCCTACATGCCCTTTAGACCTAGTCATTCCAAATAACACTTGCCCCCCCCCGTAAAATTGTCGTGCTGGCGGTTCGGCGAAGTTTGGCGCGTGGTGCACCTGTCTCTTATACACATCTAGATGTGTATAAGA